ACCTATTGAATTTGTTTGGGGGTAGCTTCTTGTTTAATAATTAAGCTCTAAACAGAAATAAGAATTGACTTTTCTATGAAGTGTATTCTAACACACTTAAAAAAAATTTAAAAAACTTTTTAAAGAACTTTAAAAAATGGCAGCTACTCCACCCTTGCTGTTCCTTGTCAGCCTTTAACTATTACCTCCTTTCTATCCACAGAGGAGAACATGGATCAAGAAAAATAGGGAAGAAATACTAAGTTGCAGCATGTGCATGACCTTCTGTTCAAGGCTGCGCCAGCCACTAACCTTTCCCAGACACTCTCTGAGCTTCCCCCACCACCCTTCCATGGCAGGATAACAGAAAAAAAAAAAAAACAGGAAGAGAAATGTTGAGGTTGAACAAAAACTTAAGCCAGTCAAATGGAAAAGAAAAAATAATAACAATGGAAACGTTAAACTATATACAGATATGCAAGTATATTCAAAGATACAAGAGAATATGTTAATAGAGGATTCATGCCTTTTGGATGACAACAAAGTCCTGAGCAAAAAAAAAAAATAAAAAGTGCCAGACTAGACTCAATAAGAGACAGGAGCACCCGAGCCTAGAGTCCCAATGACAGTCCAATAAAACAGAAAAGGAGCTGTGCCAATACCAACCTGGGAAGGCAGGGGAAAATAACCTGTCCCTACGAATGGTGCTCCTTCACAGTGTGAAAACAGGAGGCAGGACTACCAGCAGTACAGGGAGAGAAGAGAACAGTCAATTGCAATCCTTCCAACACAGCAGACAGTGAAAAAATGCCCAAAGCTTTTCTGAGGGGCCCTTATATGCTGAGCACTGTGGGAAGGAATACTATGATTGCCCATTTGGGTCACCTGAACCATCCACACCTCCCCAGAGGCACAGCTGCCCCCATTACCTATTGTGATTGCCACATGATGGCAATCGTTTTTCTTCCTCTTCACCTCTCCCAGTTACAAAGTTGTCACTCAAATTCTTATAAAATAGACTATTGCACTTGAAAGGGGCCTACAACAATCATCTAGCCTGACCACTTTAAGGCTAACCCAAAGTTAAAACACGTTAAGGGCTTTGCCCAAATGTGTCTTCAACACTGACAGGCTTGGGGCTCCACCAGCTCTCTAGAAAGTCTGTGCAGTGTTTGACCACCCTCTCAGTAAAGAAATGCTTCCTAATGTACAGTCTGAACCTGCCCAGGAGCAGCTCTGAACAATTCCCACGTGTCCTGTCACTGGATCCCAGGGAGAAGTCAGCACCTCCTTCCCTGCTTCCTCTCCTCAGGAAGCTGTGGAGAGTTATGAGGTCACCCCTCAGCCTTCTTTTCTCTAAACTAGACAAGGAAAACAGAATGTGAAACACATGGAATTCACTGTTATTACACAGTCTTTCTAGGCTTTTTCAAATCCCATTAATTTCCATTAAAGTAATTATGCTAAATAAGAGAATTTTATGAAGCTTGTTGTGTGCCTTCAAAGCACTACACCATTAAAGATATTTCTGACTGCCAGTCAGGTTTACATAGATAATGGCCCATGTTTTATAACCCTTGATTCTCAAACTTTGTGTTTTTCAGATCAGAAACTAAATATGGCACTGGGACAGTGCGAAACAGATGAGATTTTGAGAGCTACTGCTGAGCAAGTATGCCATCTCAGGGGTGGAAATACTAAGTTGGGGGGTTTTGTGACAAACATCTTTGCATATATAGAGCACAGCCCACATCACTGCGGCCTGGCCTTGCTTTGGGTCCATCACACAACCCTGGAGTTGCTTGTTGTTTTTCCAAACAGCAACAGAATAAAATTGCCATAACAGCGAATTCTGATATTTTTGGTGCATTTTCAGAAGCTTGCCATATGCAGGAAAACATATCCCTGGAAGAACGTTTGCTTTCTAGAGTTTTTCACTTTAATAGACTTTTCTAAAGAGATTGGTCTCTGGTTGAGATAAGTTCTATGCTGGGTACCATAACCCTGTCTGAAAATCTGTGCCGAAGCTAGGGGATCAGCACCTTCCTAATGCTGAGATGCATGGAACTGAACTTAGCAGTTAAATTTATGATTGTTGTTTTAAAAGCAAGATGGTTCCCCCTCAGATGCAATTATGCTTTATATCAGAGCATCTCCAGGGAGAAAAAAAAAAGATAATTTTTTCAAATTGGACTACCGCTCAAAGATTTTTGAACATAAAGCTGTAAGTGATCATGTGGGATACTGTGTATGATTGCAGTACAGACAGAACAGCAGCTTTGAGCTGCATATCAAAATTGAAAACTGCATGCAGTCATGTGCAAGTACTAATGTATAAAGTATACCATTACAGAAAAATGTCCTCAGTGGTGATGGCGTATCAGGATCCAGGATGATGGAGCAAAGGTAACTGATTGCAAGTGATAAATGAGAATACTACAACGTACTCAAAATACATGGTCATATACTTTTAAAAGGTGAACCTGGTCTTACGTACATGTGTTCACAGCTCCAAGAACTTGTGAATGAGGTCTGCAAAAGGGCTCCTGTAGCAGTTGAGTTTAGACACTATTATGTTTATTTAATAAATATGTAACTCATCTTCCACAATCTGTAAATAAAGGATGAGATGAGTGAAGGAATTGTTCAGTCTAAACTTCAAGATAATAAAAGTGCAGGTAAATTGTACTGATCTGAGTAATGCAGGTAACTGCTGTCTTTCGAGGTCATATGGATGTTTTTAAGAATGCTTGTTTTACAATAGTCAACTAGCAGCTGACTGTTAGTAAATTGTTTAATTATCACTGTCCTTTCCTGTTATAAAAATAACTTATCCTTGTTAGCTTTTAAGGCATTATCACTCTAAACTCTTAAAGAACTTTGAATTACTGTCAATTACAAAAATATAAGAAGGAAAAAGGTATCTAACTAGAACTTCATTATTTTGCATTTTCTTGTAGGCCACTACTGTTATATGTGAAGGCAGTAACAGTCTAGTCTTGAATTGTTTGGGAATCCTTGAATGAAATATTAATGTTGTGTTGATGCTTATTTATAATGTCACATCTAGTTTTGTGAAAGAGGAAATCTGCTGTTAATGATCATACTTTAAAGGTAGTAATTAAATTTGTCAATTGGATTCTAGGCAATATCAAGCTTGGAAATAAAGTGACTGTTTGGTTCTATTCTCTAGATTAAGAATTCTTCAAAACCAGATAATTCTTAGAACAATGTTTCAGCATTTACAAAATGTGTTCTAAGCCTGTTTTTCCACTTTTTAGCTTGCCGACTCTACTCCCAGATTATGATAAACACGTGGAAGAAATGAGAGAACAGCTGCAGCTTTATGAGGTGTGGATGTTTCTAACATTGCTGACTGTACATATTCTTAGTATCTGATAGTATTAATATATCTAGGCCATTAGTTTTTGTCAATAAAGAAAAGCATACCTGCACCCTGCTACACAAACTTGCTGGACAGCAGTCTGCCTCAGATGACCAGAGAGCTTGCTATGAAAAGGTGGGGAGACTGTCCAAATTGCACACAGACCACTGTGTGTTTGGAGTAGTAGGGTTGTGAAATGAAACATGCATGTTTCATTTCTTCAGATGTTCTGATATGCCTGGCTGACATTCAGATGAGTCAGCTGTCTCCCCTTCTTCATAGACCCAGCCTTCTTCATTCTTAATAATTCTTCAGATTCAAAATGATCATGGAGGCTGAGGTGTGGAGGGTGATTATCTTCCTCTCAACCACAGCAAAATGTGGCAGACAGAATGCAATATTTACTTGTGCTCTTCTACTCTCATTTTGTTTTAATGCACTTATTTCATCTGCCCATTATAAAGATTCTGCAAAAACCGCCTTCAAGATTGACTGATTTCAGAAGCACTATATGGTTTTGTTGCACTATTTAATTAATAAAACAGTCCATTTAACTCGTGTAACTGAAGTTTCTCTTCAGTTAAATCCTAAGCTGCTTTCTCAAATGCTTACTGCATAGAAGATGAGAATTATCCACTGTATCCCTAAAAGAACTTGACTTAATTAAGAATCCATCTGTAAGAGGTATAATAACTCCAAAAGGTAAGTTTAATACTCATAAGAACTTCTAAAAGCTTAGGTATAACAGGACTCAGCAGCTGTTAAATTTAAATGGCATCCTGTGACTTCTCTTAAAGAAGTGACTTTCGCTTACTGTATTATGCTGAATTTCATCATCCATCAGTCAGAAATGAAAGAAGAAAGAATTACCAAAGCTTGTGTCACTTAAATGAGTTCTTATTCTCACATTTTTTTTTAGGCACAAATGTGTGAGATGAGATTGAAATTTGAACAAATCGCTGAGGAAAACAAAAGGTAAATAATTCCTTTACTGCTGTTTTTCTTGATTTCTCAACTGTAAAAGTCTTTTTTTTAGGACCTTTCAGTATTTTGAATCTACGTAAGAGTTGAAGATTTCGTGCTCATGAGCTTAATATTAGAGTCTTTAAATGCTTAATATAGAGTGAAGCACCAGGTTATAGGAGATGCAACTATATCTCTAAATGAAATAGATATAAAACTCTATTAAACTGTCTGTTGTGTTTATATCATGTAAATTCATAGATGTAAATATGACTTAAAAGTAAACAGTATGTACAAATTGAAGGTACAATATACTTGAGTTGTTAAAAAAAGACCCTGTTAGAGAAATGCCTTGTGGAACTTAGTTCTTTGAATTTCAGGCTGCACACAGAGTTGAAAGAGGCTCTTGAGAAGCAACTGGAGAAGCTTCCTTTCATGCTTTCAGGAACAGATATTCCTGCAGATGAAGACATAGTGAGAAACCTTCAAGAACAACTACAAATGATGAACCAAGTGTGTGAGATGAAACTTTTGTACTGTTTTATTTCTCTTGTTATATCTTGGCATATGTGGTGAAGCTATTTTTCTTGCTTGTTCAGAGTTTATTGAAACTATTTTGAGGCTCTTTTGACTTTCTTTAGCTAAAGAAACCAGTGCTTACACTTTCAGCTGAAAGACCTGAAGGAACTACTGTCTTCGTTTCATACAAGGAATTTTTAATACCAATCTTTGTTTGTAATTTTATGTGATAAATGATCTTTATATTGAATTCCTGACCAGGAAAAGAATTAAATGCTGTGTTCAATTCTTTCTTTTTTTTAGCAGCTTGTCATTTTAGTCAAATGCACTGTAATGTGATAGGAGGCACGTATATATGGGATGCAGAAAATAATACTTAAATCTGAAAAGATAAGCAAGATTTATCAATCTTGTGTGTGATAAAGTTGAATTTAAATTGACAGCTGAATTTTGGTATTTGAATATTATATATACTGTAGGCCTATAGTAAATACCTGTAAAAGTTTAAGCTTAAAAAAAAAAAAACATCTGGAGAACTTGCAATTCATTTGTAGATGGAATTTGAACTTGTAACCGTCTGACTTTCTGCATCTGAATTTGGTATTTTGTCTGTGTAATTGTAATGTGTGTGAAGTACACAAAATGACATTTCTCTAAAATAGGAGCTAAGACTTGTCTTTGTAGAGAATGATAGATGAAGGTAAATGTGCTATAACAGAATATTTTATACAAACTGTTGTTCTGTAACTTAGGAAAGAGAAAAAGCAATAGAGCTCTGGCAGACTGCATTACAGGAGCATGATCGACTCCAGCAGCAGTACCAGGAACGCCTGACTGAAACACAGATACACGTGGCTGAAAGGCAAAGGCAGAAAGTAATTTTCATTTGTATTTCTGTTAATTTTGGAGTTTCTTCGTATACTGTGGACAGTGGAAGTAAGGGTTTTCTAACAGTACTGTTAATTAATTTTCATTAAAAAGCAAATTAATTGTGTCCATACAGGCACGTACACCTTAATTTCTAATTAAAGTTAATTTAATTTATTTTATTTAATTTTTAATTAAGGCCTACATGTTTGCTACTGTGGTTAGCAAAAATGCTTACGGTGGCATCAACATCTATGTGTCTCTTTAAATCCACTACTTATGTATGCTTTAATATTTTTATAGTAAGTGTGTATTAGTTATGGAAGGAGACAGTTTGTAATTGTGTGAAATTCAGAAAGATTTTTCAGTACTACATGTAATTTTCCCTGATTACTCAGCCAACAGCTAAAAGCAATCTAAGTAAGATCTAGAAAAGTATACTGAGTTGCCTGCAATATGTATAAACTTTTTTGAAAGTGTTTTCAGTTGACTATGAAGCTCTCTAATCATACACTCTTTATGACAATAATAGTTATAAGAAGCCCTGAATTCTATTTTTAGGATCAGCTGAGCATCTTTCAACAATTGACTCGGCAACAACATGTAGCCAAGGAGAAAACAGAGTTGGTAAGTAAAACTTTCTGAACAATGACCTAGTAAATTAATTTTTTCCTACTAGACCCTTGAAGTATACAAGAAAAGCATAAGTCCTTCATATATACCTGGTTGGAAAAGCAATTGTGCTGCTCATATTTGCATACTTCTCTAGGGGCCAGCCAAAAATGAAGTAGTAATAACTTTTTTTTCCACTGAACTCCTGGAGAGAGTGAAATATACGAGCTCTCTGAAAGAGAGAAAACAGACAATGTTAAAGTAAAGGTAATCCCATTAGTTTGCATTACCCAAAAGTATTTTGCAATGTGTAACCTAAAGTATCTAAGTATTGTGGGATATGGAAGCATGCCCTTTGTTGAGTTAACAAACTGAAAAATAGGAAGTGAAGAGACAGAGTAGGTAGGCTTTTTGTTGTGGTAAAACAGCTGTTTCCTAGATGTGTACAGGTTTGAGTTGTTCAGCATACTAATAAATGTTCTGGAAATCAGTTTCAGTTTAAAGGCAAGAGTTCACTACTAAGGTTAAACTATTCAGGGAAGGCAAAACTGAAGTAAATGGCAACAACTAGCAGAAGGATCTCATGATGTTGAGTATCTGAATGGATTTTATCTGACATTTCATTGATATTAATAAAGGCAAAATAGTGCATGTAAGCAAGACAGCTTTCATTTTAGGTACTCTGTGATTGTTATGAAATTAACTGTTACCACTCATAATAGGCATTTTAGAAGTAGGAAAACAATTCACAGCAAGAGTCAAAAAAGCAAGAAGAGTATTAGTAGTTATTCAGGGAGGGGAAAAAGTAATATTTTGTGCAGAAGTCCACAGGACAGGGGCATCTTGAATGCTGCCTGCAGTTGTGGTTGTCTCTAATATCTCAATGTAAATTATATGCAAGATTTAGAAAAAGCTAGTAAGGTAATAAAATATGAAATGATTCTTAAATGAGACTGCAGCTGAAGTGTCATTCACATTTCCAGCACTATGGCTGGCATAAAGAAAAATGAAGGAGGGGCAATTGCTCAATATTTCTTGTCTCTAAAACAAAGGAATGGTTTCCAGCAGTATGTGGTCCACTGTGGCATAAGGTATTCCAGCCACTTAAACTAGGTTGGAGTGCACGTGGTAGATCAGAGCTATTAATTCTTGTATCGGGAAGTTCTTAACGCTACCAAAATACGGTGAAAGAGGAGGAGGATTAGGTAACATCACTCAGCATTTGCCTTTCTGAAGTATTCTACATAGAAGCTGGTACTTGAAGACTAGCCACAGTGTTAAACAGACCTTATTGACTCTTCTTATAGTATTCTGTAGCAGTGCCCTATAGTAATTCTTAATATGTAACATTTTCGATACAAGAAGGAACATATTACAAACAGCTCCTTATTTTGCAGGCCAATCAACAGCTTCTGAAAACTGTCACAGAACAGAATGTGGAAATAGAGCAGCTACAAAAACAACTAAGGTATAAACTACTAAATTAGATATTGATTAGATTTTTTTCCAATAGCTTTTTCTAACCTACAGCTCTATCATGGGCCTTGTTTGCACTGCAAACCGACATCGTAGTGATAGTTACAATGGTTTTAGTTAATACCTCTTAAGCTTGTTAGAAATGTGTGCATCAGTAGTGTTAGGGTAGCGTACTTCTAGTTAGTGCTGTTTGGTTCAGCTGTTCCCAGAAATATTCAACATTTGACCTTTGATTTAAAAGAAACATTTTTTAATCGCAGCAAAATTGACTCTGAAGGTAGATTTTTGTTAGACTTGCACTTGCTCAAAATCTGTTCAATTTGCCAAAGTCTGTTCAATGCCAGTTTACTGTTATGTGCCAACTCTTTTAATTAGTGATTGTTGAGGTCAAGCTAAAATTTAATTTGAGTAGACAGTGGACTTGTGGACTAACAAGAAAAAGGCAATGGTTTTGTTGTCAACCAGAAATATTTTTGTGTATAGTATTAGCTAAAGTTGTAATTAAGCTTTTAAAAATAAACTTTTAAGTTTATAATCTTAAAATTTACACTGTACTTAAATTTTGGTTTAATAATTACATTTTCCTCTGATTTTAATTCTGGTAATTGCCTTTGATGTTGTGATTAAAACATTTAATAGGGTTGGTCTCAGAGTTTAAGGCTGGGCCTGCCACTAAGCTTTCATATACGCTCTCTGCAATGCTCTGCACGCCCCCACCCCGGGGATGCTAACAGACAAACTAGAGAAACTTAGAGTTTAAAAAAAACTTGAAGAGGTTCAATGAAAAAGAGAATAATACTAACAGTAATAATGAAGATGTCAAACTATATACATATATATACACAAGCATGCAAATATGTTCCAAGATACAAGAGAAAATGTTATTATGGGACACATACCTTCCAGCTGACAACTAGATCCTGAGCAGAGAAGTGAGCGTCCAAGCACAGAGTCCCCATGATAGTCCAAAAGAAAGAGGAAAGGAGCTGAGCCTCTGCCACCCAGGGTGAGGGGGTGGGAGAAGACAGCCTGTCCCAACAAAGCGTTCCTCTGCAGTGGGGAAGCAGAAAGCAGGAAACACCAGCAGCACAGGGAGAGATGATGGATAGCTGGCAAAGAGCTGATAGCAATCCTCCCTGCAGGCCAAACACTCAAGGCCCCAAGGCTCTTCTTAGGGGCCCTTATATACTGAGCAGCGTGGGAAGGAAAGCTGTGATCTGTCTCCTTGGATCACCTGTCCTGTCTTCTCCTCCCCACAGGCACAGCTGGGTCAGGCAGCCCCAGAGAACTTTCATCCTGGTGCTCGTGGACCAGGACATTTGGATTGCTATAATGTTTTATTTTTAGTTTTATTTTCTGATTTTGAAGAACATCACTATGAAAAGATAACAATAATTTTGATTTTTCTGTAAACAGTTAGATGGCTCTGTGTTTGTTCATGCACTTGTGCTCATTCACTTTTTTGTATACAGCTTTTGCAGGTAATGCTAGTACTTAGAAACCTAAGTTGGTTTAACATGTGCTAATACTGATTTTATCCCTCCAAGCACAGCTGCCTCAGAAGTTCCATCTCCCTTCGTCCAAACCCATATGAAATACTACATGAGGAGCAGTTGGTATCTGTACGGTGCAAAGTGCTTACCACTGTAAAGATTGGCTGTTTCACACATTGCAACTTTTGTTTCATGAGTCTAGTTTGTACTAGCTGTAAAAATTGAAGCTACTGTGTCACAATACTCACAGTAGAAGATAGAGCTTGAGGGTCAATGAACAGATTCATTAGTTTTAAATATTGGTTATTGTTGACTATTAACCGATTTAAAAATTGGTGGGTTTTTTCAAGATTGATTATATCCAAACTTTGTTACTGTTAGAGCAAATTCAGCTGCTTCTAGGATTAAGCTTTTACCTCTTGCTTGGTACATTATGGCTTAATTACTAGAAGAATTTTGTTTTAAGCAGTGTTTATTGTTACATTTCCTTTGTACAAAAAATTCAGGACCTGAACCTGCTTACAAATGCCAAGTTACCTCAATCACTGGAGACATTTTTAAGAAAAGCCTGTTAGCACCTCTCATTGATATTAGCCAAGACTTTATCACAGAGAAACTGTTTTAATATGGTGTGTTTTGGAGATTATTTATTAGAGATAATTTATTACTGCATTATTTCTAATACTCTCAATGGTTTTGATTTAAAAAACAAACAAAAACCACACACATCCAAAAAAACCCCAGGAAATAAATAAAACAGAATAAACCCCAATACTAAAACCATTCAAGTTGTAGTAGAGCAGCCAGTTGAGTGTTTTTGTCGAAATTAGAGGTATGATTTCCTTGGTCTCACCCATTTCATTTTTTGAAAGGATATTCCTTTTTAGGCTTGCTCCTTGGAGCAACGTGAAACTGTTTAATAATATCAAATTAGAATATGGCATGACAACCAGAACGACCAAACTCACCGATTCGTAGCCAGGATCTGTATAACTGTCTATATGTCCATAAGTAAGAACAGTAGAATGGAAGTGCACGTTCCTGCTTAAACTACTGTTTCAGGAAGGAAGTATGTTAAAAGAAGTCCCTGGGGCTGACTGAAAGCTAGTCAAACTTTTAGTCATACATGCTCCAATACATCCCCATATTTTTGTTTAGTTGCTGTTTTAAAAATGGTTTAACTGTGAGTGTTTACACTTCAATCGAAGTATCCACTGGACTGGAGACAAGTGTGGCTTAAGTCAATTAAAGCAATTAACTCTATGACATAAATATACAGACAGTCAGCGGCCTGTACATTAGTGCTAAATATTAACAATATAACAGGTCAACACAGATATCAGGCATTTGCAATATATTAATAAAACAATGCAAATCTGTAAACACAAATCCACAAACAGTGGAACTGAGTGCATCCTCAGCAAGTTTACCAATGACACGAAGCTGTGTAGTGTGGTCAGCATGCTGGAAGGAAGGGATGGCACCCAGAAGAACCTCAACAGGCTTGAGAGATGGGCCTGTACAGCCCTCCTGAAGTTCAGCAAGGCCAAATGCAAGCTCTTGCACCTCTGTTGGGGCAATCTCAATCAGCAATACAGGCTGGGCAATGAGTCAACTGACAGCACCCATGCAGAGAAGGATTTGGGGATGTTGGTGGTTGAAAAGCTGTATATGAGCTAGCAATGTGCACTTGCAGTCCAGAAAGCCAATTGCATCTTGGGCTGTGTCAAAAGAAGTGTAGCCACCGTGTTCAGGGAAGTGATTCCCCCTCCTCTACTTAGCCCTTCTGAGACCCTGCCTTAAGTACTACGTTCAGCTCTGGGGCCCTCAAAATAAAAAGGACTGGACCTGTTGGAGCAAGTCCAGGGGAGGGCCACAAAGATGATCAGGGAGCTGGAGCACCTTACCCGTGAGGACACGCTGAGAGTTGGGGCTGGTCAGCCTGGAGAAGAGAAGGCTCAGGAGACCCTTTAGCAGCCTTCCAGTGTTAAAGGGGGCTGTGGAAAAAAAGAGGACAGAGTCTTTATCACAGAGTGTAGTGACAGGATGAGGGGCAACGGTTTCAATTAAAGTAGATTCAGATTAGGTGTTGGGAAGAAGTTCTTTTCTGTGAGGGTGGTAAGACACTCAAACTGGTTGCCTAAAGAACTTACGGATGCCTCAACCCTGGAAGAGTTCAAGTTCAGGTTACATGGGGCCTTGAGCAACCTTTTCTAGTGGAAGGTGTCCCTGCCCAACCCAAACCATTCTAGGATTCCATAAACGCTCCTTCTTGCTTGCTCTTCACAGGATATGTTGATTAAAAGTATGTGCTCAGATACTCACTTTTTGGCAAGTGAAGTACATGTTCCCACAGCTGCACGCCCCTTCTCTTGGAGGTGCAGGTGCTCCAGCTTTATAGATACTTGTGCTGGTTCCCAAAGTCTGCTGGTTGTGCCCTGCTGAGAAAGCACCCCATGAGTTCTCCTTCATACAGCTGATACAGAGGTTCCCATTTATTTCACCCCCGGGCCAACAGTCTGCCTGTGGCATCTCATACAGTGATGTCTCTTGGACCTATGCAGAGGTGACATGGCCTGTAAGGTGACTCCTGGCAAGGTTAAAGAACTTGACTGCTGGGCTGTCACTATGAGGTCTGTCACCCACAACCATGTTTTTTCAAGTTTCTTTTCAAGCTGTTGTCTTGTCACAAATCTCTGTAACTTTTTCATCTGGCTGGCTATGATCATAGGCTGCCTGTGTCATTGTTCTTCTGCACATAGTGTTCTCAGTTTGAGGCAAAGCAGTTAAAAAAAAGAATTTTACATCTCTAAGTACGAGCACTGATTACACTCACGTTCCTCTGAGATCAGCTAGAAGTGCCTGCAACCCTAAAAATGATGTTACATGATGCTCACAAAGCTAACGACAGCATCTCTATACAGCACTGTACTGGTCAGGTACTGTGCTAGCTAGTACTGGGTCATAATCTGCCATGTGTAGAGACAATGTAATATTGGATATATTTTTGTAGATAACAGAGGCTTGAACAGGTTTTATTTATGTGCTAGAGTTTTTATTAAAACATTAGTGCTTTAGCATTTCAAAGCTCTGTTGTATGCAGTTAAGCATTTAGTTCTCACGCTGTTGTTCTCTGCAATTAGCTACTAGCAACTGTCTCTGAAGAGGGCATGCTTAACAGTCAGTCATCTAATGATCTCTGCTGATGTTAACCGTTGAGTTTTGCTGCAACTATTAAAAATGTTTTAATCTATATGCTAATGAAATATTTTTAAAGATCTGTAGATAAAACTAAGAAACTTGGTATTGCTGGAGTGTATATCTGCATCTTAAAGATACAGAATCTTAAAGCTTTTAAACAGTGATAACTTGCTAAGATTACATTAAAGATACATAAAACAGTGAAGAATAAGAGATGCATCTTTAGAATGAATTTGTTGCCAGTTAAACACACATCTCTGAATTTGATCTGAATCTTAATTTGGTCATTAAAATGCATTTTCAGTACTTAAACTATCCTGAGTTTTATGACCTCTTCATGTTTTTCTCTTATTCTGGGTTTTGAGTTTTTGTTTTACAGCACATTTTAAATGTGCTGTCAGAGAAAAGTGCATGATTCAGATGAACCAAGTTCAAATGTTTGCACCTGCAATGAGGGAATTAGTTTTGACTTGTTAAGGAAATAACAAAGTTATTTTTTCTGATTAATTAAGCTGAAATTAAGTATTTGCTGTACAATTGCTGAGATTATGTATATTTTGCTTAAGACTTGCATATAGATTTAGTGTGCTTTTGTCTTTCATCCCATTAAATCAAAACTATTTCTATAAGGAATTGTTGCTTGACATAGTTTCTTAAAAGTATTCAATATTTTCTACTGTCTTTCACAGCTATTAGTCATGGATAATCCTAGTTGGTGTGTCCCAGTCCCACTCATTAATAGCTGCAGTTTCCATTGACTTATCTGTTTGCTTTTAACTTTATCATGCATTCAATCATTGGTCTTGAAATTTAGCCTAATACACAACCTAAATAAGGTGAAGCACTTAGTATGTACTTCTCTTCCCAAGTTTGAGCAGGAGTTGCACCTTTCAATATGCTTTTCTACTGAGGAGTCTGATTCATTAACTAGTCCTTTCTTCTCTTGTTGGAGCTTGTAAAACCTGTTCAGATTGCAACGCACATCAGTTGAATTCTTCAGAAGTGCTTAATGATTTTTTTTTAATTCCTAGTAATACTGCTTTAAAAAGTGAAATTTAATTCTGAAAAAAAAATCTCTGTTAAGTATCTGTGGCAAATTTAAGTTACTGGATCAACGAGTCTTTGATTGCCCAGTCCTCCCAAATATTTAATCAACATATACACTTTCCTGTTAAGCTATCCTGAAGAAGTCACTTCCACCAGACCACTTTTTTAGAGAATTTGGTATTCTCACTTTCCTGTTAAGCTATCCTGAAGAAGTCATTTCCACCAGATAATTTTTTTAGGGAATTTGGTATTCCTCTTTCACTGTGCCAGATAGTAAGAAGGAGAAAGGGAAACATTTTCTGCCCTGTAGAAAAAGTATTATGGGATCTGACTGCCCTTCACAGCTATTTCAACAGTTGCAATGGAGACATCGTTTCCCCCTCTAATAATTGGAATGTAATTCATAGATTGTTTTCTTTATACAGGCAAGCCAAAATGGACAGGCAGAGAGCAAATGCTCAAGTTGAGGAAATGACCAGATTTACAGAGAAGCTTCAAAGCCAATTGAAGAGAAAGGTATTCTAGAGAAAGGAGTGAGTTTCTGTGGCAATCAAATGGCTAGTCGGTTATCTGAATTATGACATTCAAGTGACTGCAAGTTGTTCTCTAACTTGGTTTATGTTTAGTACATCTTTGTTTTGTTCAGGAAGCTCAGATAATGTCTGGATAATAACTTGAAGAAGACGTGATCTCTGCACAGCAAAGAGAAGCAGCATCTGACAAACGCTTGCAGCAAATGCAATCTAGTATCAAACAATTAGAAACAAGGTAAGGATAGCTCACTAGATCTTAATAGCAGGATACATGCAAGTGAGATAAACTAGTGTGGCTTTTTCAGCCTTGTCATGGTAAAGTCACTGAGCAGAACTGGTTCTGTGTACAGCAGCCTAAGCATTGTGGAGGCTTTCAATTTTATTTTAGAACATATTAAGAAATTCACTATTTTTATTGTTACCAAGTTCTTGGTTCTATAAAAAGAGAGTGGTTGTCCATCTCTACATGTTTTGTTACAAACAGGTTAGAAAGTAAAAAAGCACGGCTTGGAAAGGAAGCCCACGTGTTGCTGAAGTTCCCACTAACTGGCTATTTAGAACTGCACTTTATTGAACCAGCAGCACTTGTGGAGCTTCCCGAGATGTTTTTGAGGATACCTCTGAGGCTCTCTTGCCCTTTCTCATGCCTATCAATACTGACGATCATAATTAAACAATAAGAATTTCTGAGCTCTTATAATGTTACCAGTGGGGTTTTTTTTTTTGTTCTAGCACTACAGCTGCAACTTCATTGCCCACATCCAATTATTCTATTTCCTCCACAGAGGAAAACTTTATTCCTTCTAGGGCTGTTCTATTCTGTTTCAATATAGAACATTTTCAGTGATATATCCCAGGTTAGCAACATTCTTATAAGGATCTCCCAAGACTAGATATCCAAGTAAACTCCTTTAATTCTGTGTCTTTCTAGTACTTGATAAATATTTAACTCAAAAAACTATGTCAAAAAAACACCCAGAAAACCAGAGATACCGTTTTTGGAAATAATGAATAACTAGTTCCTATTTGCTTAGTTGGAAAGGATTAGTGTCTTAATTAAACATTGTATTGTTAAATTAGTAAAATTACTACTGTCTTGTAGATTACGTTTTACTTTAGAAGACGCTGAACAGCTGAGAACAGAAAGAACAGCCCTGGAGAAACAAATCGGAGAGCTCCAGACAAAGTGTGCTAATCTAGAAAGGGAGACGTACGATGCAGTTACAAAAGTCCAAGACTGCATACAGCTTTTAGAAGAAGCTAACCTACAAAAAAGTCAAGTAAGTCAATGGATGAACATATTTCTTGGTTATTGGAACACTTTCATGACTTCCAGTTGTGAATTGCCTTCCATATTCTTAAAGGCATAAACAGTCAAGCTTCTTGTTTTCCTTTGATGCCACTTGCTGTGAACTCACATGAAATTGACAGGAACAAGTGGTCCAGTAAAAACTATTGTGGTGTAAATTGCATGTCTAATTAACTGAACAGTTACAGATAAATATGGAACTTTTTATAAATAAGTTTTTTAAGCTGTAGTTAGAATACACTGCAGCTTGCACGCACTTGTTAATTTACTGCTTTGGCTAGAACACCATGAATTTTTCAGACTGGGAAGTTTATTAATGAACAGGATAAAATAAACACAGCATAATATACGTAGCAGTTAATGCTGTGTGTCTTAAACTGCGGCCACAGAGGTTTTGCCCTGCTCTGTAAGATGTGGAGTGTGAATAACAGGCTGTCATAATGAAGCTGCTCCTGTCATGCTCTCATTTGAAAGTACCAAAGCTACAAAAAAAGTTACAAAAAGACATCAGAAGAATTCTGGCAGTAGTTTGAGAAATAAAATACCAAGTTGATTGAATGGGAGCAGTAAAAAAGTATGACCAATGAAGTGGCACATTACTGCCTCAAGTCAGTAACCTTGTATAGGCTTATAGGCTGAACTTAGATCATCGGCTGCATGTTTATCTTAGACCTTTTATGCACTTACATGTTCTCTATGTGCCACCTAGGGTTTTTTATCTACCCTATCAAGAATTCTATATTCTGTAATCTCCACAGACCAGTATCTCCTATTATACTTCGACATCGATAGCTTTCTTGCATGCTTACAAAGAAGGGCTCCTTGCTACACTTGGTTTTAGTTCTTGCCCTTGTTTTATGTTTAGGAGCTATTCAGGTCATTGTTAGCCACTGTGGAAGGGACTACCTGCATACACATTCCTTGGTTGCTTATAAAATTTATTCCTTTACTTTTAGTAAATTCACTACTTGTAGTACTTTTGGGAGATGAGTGGTTTAGTATTATCAACCATAAAAAAAACCAACTACCTGTAGGAGCACCATGTGTATGTATACAGGCATTCAGCTTCCTAGCAGAGAAGTTTCTATGCATCATTGTTGGCATTTTTTATTGTAGATCCTGTCTCCAGGTGAGAACATACCAGAGTAGCTTCACCTTTTGGCCTGAGTTCCTGTGCTTTTTTCTCCTGTGTAAAAATCTCAAAGCCCTAATAGAAAAAGGCATCTACTGACACTTACTTTTCGCGTGGTTCTGATTTACAAGAAGGTGCATTTAGCGCAAAATGTTCTTGCTGTTCTTGTTTTCTTACTGGGTCTCATAGTCAGCTACTCTAAACTAAAAAGGAAAAAAGGATTTCTGAACAGGGTCTCTATCTGGTTTCTGCTCTTGGGGCTAGATAGCGTGTCATCACTGAAATATCAGTAGTATTTCAAGTTATTTTTTTTCTAGGCACTCTTTGCGGAAAAACAGAAGGAAGAGGAAATCAAAAAAATGAAAGAGGAAATGTCTCAACTTGTAGAAGATACTGCTGCAACAGTTAGAAAGGCAGTAAGTTACAATGTTGAGAATGAAGAGATTTTTGACTTTCCTCAGTGTGGTGCCATTAACGATACATGGTCATCACAAACAGTTTTCTTACAAGTGTTTTGGTAACATAAGTAACAAGACAGCATGTACCACGTACAGACTATCTGTATGTAAAAATGAAGCTGAAAAACAGCACATGGGATGAATTTTTTGGTTTTTCATTGGTTTTGATCACAGGTAGACTCTGCAAAGAAGCAATATAATGTGCAGATTTCTCGACTAGCAGAAGAACTTGCAGCTCTTCAAATGGTACAGTATTGCCTGATGAAATTATTTTTGGTGGCAAAACATTTGATACTTAGGTTTTTTTGATCAAGTAAACACAGATGCAAGTCAACTAAAAAGATTAATGAGTAATTGGCTAGAACTATGCTTTATTACTATATGGCACTTAATATCCTGCATGTCTCCAGGTATTAATGGAACATACAGTGTCCTTGACATTAGTTGACGTAAGTGACTGCATGCAGTGTCTTAACAGTCAGTGCAGAGGTTCATATTTAGGTGTAAAAGGTACTGCTTTGAAAATTCATATTTAACATACAGATTTGGCTCATGTATCTACAATCACATCTCTTACTGAAAACTTGAAAGGCTCTGCATGAAATAGTACAGTTCTGTATTTGCAATAGCTATTTTTTTGCTTTGGCACATCCTGAATTTGACTTCATTAGATTTATTTTAAAATTACTTTTTAAAACAGGAATGTGGAGAAAAACAGGGTCAAATTGAACGAGCCATTAGAGAAAAGAGAGCAGTGGAAGAAGAACTTGATAAGGTAATGAAAATGCATGCAATTGCCTTAAGATCTCTTATCAGAAGGAAAGAAACATCAGAAAAATCAAAGTATTTTTCCCTCTTTCTTTTTTTAGTATATTTTCTTAATTGTTACTTTTGATGTAATTATTTTAAGTTGAAGTTTTCTTAGGTTTGTTTTTTTGGTTGGGCTTCTTTAATCAGGAAATTATTTTAAAGCTGTAATGCTAAAGTCAAGAAAGGGGTTCTCTGAAAAACATAAGTAAAAAAGAAAGTTTGACATAACCTGAAAGAATGTTGGCACATATTCCTCTACAACTTCAGCTCAATGGGCAGAAAACTAAATGACTGCCAGATGTTTTAAAATTTATTTTCCAAGTAGAAGCAGTAATGATAGAAACAAATTTTTGTTTTCCATCGCTGGAAAATAGGACGCTTGAGAACTAAGTAGCCTCCTGCTCAGCACTGCACTGCCAGTCAACATTGCAAGGTAAAGATGATGTTAGATGTAAATTTATTCTTCAGATTTGCAGAGAACAAAGAGACCACGAATATGACAATAGGAAACTAGAGCAACTGCATCAGAAATATTTACTAGCAGAAGCTGTAAAAGGTGACCTTCAGCTAAGTCTACAGACAACACAAAATAAACTGAAACAACTGGAAATGAAGTAAGTAACAGATGTTACAGCAATTAAATAGAAATAATTTCTATTTCTTTCCATTCTAAATTGTTGTTATCTGTTAGGTTTTTGTCAACTCTTTTTGACCAGTGGCAGGAATGGTATCAAGATAACTTATTTCTGAAGCAAGGGCAATCATGAATCTTTGAAAAGGAACGAAAGGGAATAACCCACTACAGAGTGAAATATTTGCTTTACAAGTTGAGACCTACAATCAGTCATTTAACAAAAACCAATATTTAGAATATTGATGCATTTTAAAATATCATTTGTACAGTTGCCTTAGGAAACACTCCAGTAGAATTTATTACTTCATACATTCATCTTTGTTGCACTGTATCCTCGTATATGCAGAACGCTGTGTTTGCATAGCATACTCAATGTCAGTTCTGCTTCAGAGCTAGACATTAGTGCAGCTCCAATAATACAATAGTTAAGAGTACAATATAGCATGCATTTGTAGAATTCTCTAGAAGCTTTAGTCATTTCTGTAGGCTGATGGTCAAAAATCCTGTCACTTGACCAGAGCGATCCTCAGTTGGCAATCTGGAAATGTTATAAAAATTAAAATCTTGTGCTTCACATGGTCATTTTACTGAGATGGCTACAATAGCAGTCTGGTTTTATGAATTCTGTTATCCTGATGAAATTTACTGACTGTACCATCATTCTAGCTGTCACGCTGAGCTGATAAACTGTGAGGAAGAAACAGGGCAACAGCCATACTGGTTAGACCAAAGATCTGGACCATTACGTGTTTGGTTTTTTTCTCTAGTGCAGTAGTTGTTCTGCTCTTGAGTTCCAGCAAGACTTCTCTTCTCTTCCAGCTCTGAGGAAGAGAAATCTCGTGGCCAGGAAGCGATCTGCAAATTGCAGAGCATTCTGGATTCAGAAAGAGAAAAGACTGCCTCTGTCAGTGAACAAAGACTAAAACTTCAGCAAGAGAATGAAAAGTTGCAAAAAGAAGTGGAGGCCTTGAGAAAACTGGCCATAAAGGCTCAACAAAAAGCTAAAATAAAGGTACTTTTTAAAGATTACTTTTGTTTGAACTTAAGACTGATACTTGCTTAGTAAAGCAGCAGCTTGAACAGAAAATCATTGAAAGTTTAAATTAAGGATGGAAGTCTCAATGATCTAAGAATCTGCAGCAGTGAAAACGACTTGAGGAAGCAGTTTTCCAAGTGGGAGCCATCTCAAATCCCATTTCCACTGTGCTGCAGCACAAAATAAAGGAAGCGGTGAAACAGGCAATCTTGTTCCAACTCCAAAACCCTTTGGTCCAACATAGTTTAAAAACTAAGGATCAGAGTCCTGTAACTGATGGGTTGTGGTTATGTGGTTATAAAGCATATGCCAGATCTTTGTCTCATTTTTAATCAGACAGGCTTCCACCCCAGTCACAGATAATATGTATTGCTTGCTTGATTTTCCTCTGACATAGAGATTTTTAGACACATTTAAGGAACTCCTAACACGGTTTAGCTAGGTAAAGAATAAATGTGCTTCTGTGCAAAAGACACAAGGGAGAAGGATAAAGATTATTTCCCCAAAAAAAGCATACACAGCTCATTATCCATTATTGTCAGTTGCACTACTTGATTAAATTGGCTTTGGGAACATGTTTCTCTTTAAGCATATAATTACAAGTTTAATTATTGTCTATTTCACACTTTCAACAAACATTTATAAATTTAATTCAAATAAAAAGGCTGAAAATTGACACCTGATAGTACCCAACTTACATTTTTTCTAGATAAGCACAATGGAGCACGAACATGCAGTGAAAGAACACGGATACAAAGCTCAACTGAAGGAAATGGAAGACAGCCGTCAAAAGTCTACTTCTGAACTTAGACGTCTGTTAGTAGCTCAGCAAAAAGTAACAAATCGGTGGAAAGAAGAAACAAAAAATCTTACTGAAACTACAGAAGCCAGGATCAGTAAGCTAAAGTAAGTGCAATTGTGTTCCTCTTCCAGAAACTGCTACAGTTTTGGTTAACCTTTTGTGCATGGCAGTAGAGCCGTGGTAATAAAAGCGTAAATCATCCAGACTGCATGATATGCTTCCAGCAAAAAAAGAGAAAGAATGCTCTAGAGAGAACTTTTGACACTCTTTGCAAAGTTAGCAGTAAAGTGTAAATGTCACACCTAGTTGATGCATGCGAATTATCTAGTGTCAGTAAACAGATATATTACATGTAATTTACTCTTTCAAGATACAACACACTCAACTTAGAGAATTTGTGAATATAAAAACTTAAATATTTGTAGCTATTCATAACAACCACCATGAAGTCAGTTGTGGAGCGAGTCTCCAGACTTCTCAAATAAGCTAGAAAAAAAACTATTGGGAAGCATATCTAATGTTCTTTTCCGACTAGTTGCTATCATAAATGAGGATGCAAATGAGTTGTGTGACTGCCCTAAGCAAAAATAAGCTAAACTGTACTCTTAATTCATACAAGTTACCAGAAAACTAGCCAGCAGTTTTACTGCAATAGTTTCACTGCATGTAACTAGCTGTGTTTTAATACTACTTTTTAGACATCTTTGGTAAACTACTAACTAGAAAAGAAAAATATTTTGTAATGTTTCATACTAAGGTAAACTTTAACTGTTAAACTGGTAGTTTATTTCCTGTAAATGCTACCGCAGCATGTCTCACAGTTTAGCATCTAGGTTCATAACTAGATCCTGAATGTAGTTCAGAAGTTTCCAGTTAAAAGGGAGAAATTGCAGACTTCAAAAACAAGTTGGCTCTGAAAAAGGTGCTTTCCTTCTTAAAACTTTAATGTTAAGTGTTAAAATGTTGTTATAGCAGACCAAAAGCTTTCAACATTATTTATCTGCAGCAAAATGCTGACATAGAAAGTGTAACAGACATAAGAGGAAATCTATTTTGTGAATGCATGAAAAAGAGGTAGTAAATTTTGAAAACGTCCCTCTTGATATGAGAAACTGCCTGTGCGGCATCATCTGGCGAACTGCAATAATGTAACATCCTCTATGAGAAAAAAAACTGCCTGATGAGCAAAATGGAAGAAGAACCCATCATCTCAGTAAAAACTAAAAGTCTACATTATATCCACGATTCAGTGACTTCCATAGATTTTTTTGGTGCAAATCTAAAAGCAAAGTCAGTTCCTTTTTAACATGATTTTGTAGGTGATGGTTTTACATAAAATATATGCTAGAAGCAAAAGTTTTTGTCAGACTTTTGTTCTGCCTAACAAGGAAGGTGGCAATAGAAATAAGTTTATTCTCTGTTAAAAAATTTTAATTTAACCTGATGTAAGGAATTACACAGTATCACAGAATGTCAGGGGTTGGAAGGGACCTCAAAACATCATCCAGTCCAGCCCCCTGCCAGAGCAGGATCACCTGCAGCAGGTCACACAGGAACACGTCCAGGCGGGTTTTGAATGTCTCCAGAGAAGGAGACTCCACAACCTCCCTGGGCAGCCTGTGCCAGGGCTCTGTCACCCTCACAGGGAAAAAGTCTTCCCTAATATTTTTGTGGAACCTTCTACATTCCAGATTGTACCCATTGCCCCTTGTCCTGTCATTGGACATCACTGAGAAGAGCCTGGCTCTGTCCTCCTGACACTCCCCCTTGACATATTTATAAACATCAATGAGTTCACCCCTCAGCCTCCTCTTCTCCAAGCTGAAGAGACCCAGCTCCTCCAGCCTTTCCTCATAAGGGAGATGTTCCACTCCATCATCTTTGTGGCTGGGGCGGCGTCTCT